GTTCCCAGCCCACCTTTTTCTCAGAGGCAGCTTGCAGGACCATCTAATGTGGAGGCTTTCAGTTCAGCTTCTCACCTATAGGACCCAAGTTCCTTGTTTCTAATCCCAACGTGAAAGTTAAAACTCAAGTCCTTAAGTCACGGCCTCAGTGTCACTTCACAGACTCGCTGTCTTGGTGTTCAGATCCTTCTTCATTTATTGGCCTCAGGGTTTTTCTTGATCTTTGGGTAAGTGCAACTATGCATTTATAAGGAGTCTATCAGGATGTGGGGAACACTGGACAGCTACAAGCAAAAAAATAAAACTGGACTACTTTCCCAAACCATACACAAAAACTCAAAATGGATTAAAGAGTTAAGTGTAAGACCTGAGACCGTAAAACTCCCAGGAGAAAACATAGGCAGTATGTTCTTTTATATAAGTCTTAGCAATATTTTTTTGGATCTGTCTCCTCACGCAAGGGAAACAAAAGTGAAAATAAACAAATGGGACTACATCAAACTATAAAACTTTTGTACAGGGAAGGAAACTATCAACAAAATGAAAAGGCCACCTACTGAATAGGAGAAGATATGTGCAAACAAGATATTTGATAAAGGGTCAATATTCAAAATATTCAAAGAACTCACATAACTCAACATTAAAAAAAAAGATTTAACAATGGGCAAAGGACCAGAATACACATTTGGTCTCCAAAGACACACAGATGACCAATAGGCACTTGAAAAGATGCTCATCATCACTAACCATCAGAGAAACACAAAAAAAACCACAGTGAGATATCATCTCACACCTGTCAGAATGGCTATCATCAAAAAGACAATAAATAACAAGTGTTGATGAGGACGCGAAGAAAAGGGAACCCTTGTACACTGTTGATGGGAATGTACATTGGTGCCACAATGGAAAACAGTATGGAGATTCCTCAAAAAAAAATAAAAATAGAACTACCATATGATCTAGCATTTTTACTTCTGGGTATCTATACCCCAAAAATAAAAACACTAATTTGAAAAGATATATGCACCCCTATGTTCACTGCCCAACATTATTTATAATAGCCAATATATGGAAAGAACCTAAATATCCATCCATATATGAATGGATAAAGAAGATGTGGTATTACATATACAATGGAATGTTAATCTTAATAAAATAAATGGAACTTCGCCACTACAACAGAATGGATGGATCTAGAGGGTATTGTACTATCAGAAATGAGTCAGAGAAAGACAAACACTGTATGATCTCACTTTCATGTGCAATCTAAAAAACAAAACAAAGGCACAAGAAAATAAAATGAAGACAGTCACAGATACAGAGAAACAACAGGTGTTTGTCATAAGGGAGGGAGGTGATGGGGGCGAAATAGATGAAGGAGACTGAGAGGTACAAGCTTCCAGTTATAAAATAAATAAGCCACAAGTATGTAATATAAAGCATAAGGAATATGGTCAATAATACTGTAATAACTCTGTATGGGGACAGGTGTTACTAGACTTATCATGGTGATCATTTCATAATGTATGCAAATGCCAAATCACTTATGCAGTACATCTGAAACTGACATAATATTACCTGCCAACTATATTTCAATCAGTCAGTGTTAATCACATATAAAAAATAAAAATAAACAAATAATATTAAATGAAAGGGGGAAAAGTCTAAGGCTGTACTGTATTTTTAAGCATCTCTAAATGTCTTTTAGGAGGAGAGGCTTCAGGTAGCTAGTCAGACGCCTTGTAAAAAGGAAGTTGTTTATAAAATGTCTAGATGTAAAACTCTGCCCAGGCTGAGAGCCTTCTCTGCAGCAGAACCCTCACCTACAACCTCACACATTAATGGAAGATGAATTTAGTTTCATCTTGGTGACTTAAAGAAAAAAGAGGTTACGACAGCAGCACTTTGGTGGCAAGAGACATGGAGCAGTGGAAGCAGAATCAAAGATGAGAGGAAAAGGGATTGTCTGAATCTGGGTCCCTTAAGCCCATCTCTAATTCTCCTCTTACCCCCTTCATCTCATTGCCTCTCAGCTTAGCTCCCCACAGGCAGCTGAAGCCATGAGTGAGTATATACCTCAAGAAATTAATTGCAAAGAGAACTCTAGGAGCAGGCAACTTGACTATCAAGTAAGCTGTGGCTAAAACTATTGAGGTTCTGATCAGATAAATCTAGGGATTTTGTTCCTGGTAACAAGGGATCAAGGGACTCTGGTTCAGCCTAGATTTACAATCAATTCTAAAATTGGGGCGCGGGGTGGCGGAAAAAAGCAAATCATTCTAGGGAAACATCTTTCTTTCCTGTCTTAAATCTTAAATTCACTATTTGTAGGCCTAACAGATTCTGTTCTAGAAAGGAGTTCTAAACTACATCAACAAAAGCTTAGCCATCATAGAAAATCCTTGAAGTCCTCTTTGGAACGGTTCTAGACCAATATTCCTAGAAAGATCTACAGACCAGTACACATAAGAATCCTCAATGCAAATCAGATACAGGGTAAAGAATCCTGAATTCCTCTCTATCACTACCAATCCTCTGATAGAAAATCTGTCAATCATGATATCTGTAAGCCTGCTATCCTTTCTGTACCCTCTGGCTCCATCATTCCCTGCCTTAAACAGGAGAATGATAACATGGAACATCTACCTCAAAGGCACAGTGGTATCCACCTGCTCTGAGAACTGATTTTCCTCAAGGTTTGCAGTCCTACATTAAAGTGCTCACTAGTTCAAATGACATGTGTCAAAATAATTAACAATACATCTTGTATAAATGGAGATTTAATTTTTTAATCTGCAGAACTAAACCATTTTTCCTTTGGTTGGATTTCTTTTTCAGTGGTACCATTAAAAATGTCCTCTCAAGAAAAGATCCTTTTCAACAAAGATGCAGCCTATTGGTGAAGAGTTCAAGAATTACAGAAGAATATGAAATACTATATTTAGTCTGAGAATAAAAGACAATCACCTTCCATTTTACTTAAGATACACATAAAAATTCTAAACTGTTCTCTTCCTGCACATACCTACTACTTCTTTCAATTTTCAAATTCAGTTTGAATGGTAAAAGTACAAAGAAAGGTTCCATATGGTGTTGGAACAACAGGATCAACCATCCCTCAACTGTGTGCTAACCTTCGGGCAGGCTGTATTACTAGAATTCACTAGTTAATGGCTCAACACCTTATCTACTATTGCTTGAGTGATGAAACCTCTCTGGTCCTCAGTTTCTTGATCTGTAAAATGGAGATAATACCTATTTTAGAGGGGTCTTGTGAGGTCTGAAACAATTCAGGTCTGTTACTGAGTGGTCGATTCTTGCTAGTTCTCACTAAAATTAGCTTTATTATTAGCTATCGAGTGCTTTACAATGTGCCAGGGAATCTGCATTGCTGCATTTATTACTTTTAAATCTGCTTCTTTCTTCAGAATAAGCACTTCTGCTTATCACAGACCTCATTTAGTTCCATTTAAAAAAAAAAGTAGAATCAAATGAAAAGTCAACTTCTAAGCAAAGGATATATTTTATATACAAATGGTATTTAAAATTTTATTTCTAGTAACAGCTTAGAAAAAGTAAGTTTTACATGGATCCCCTCCACTTCTGGTCCCAGGGGTGAGAATGTACAATTCTCCTGAGACTTTTTTTTTTTAAACTTATTTTGTAGTGGGGTATATAGCCAATTAACTAACAGTACTGTGATAGTTTCAGAACAGTGAAGGGACTCAGCCATACATATACATGTATCCATTCAGAGACTTTCAACTGGGTTAGGTAATTCCAAGAACACCATTACCCGTTTCATTACACAGGTACTGTTCTAAGGCTGAGGCTTATTCTGACTAGCCATGGGTTAGAATCTGCAATTCCACTATTTAAAAATAGACCCAGTATGAATGGCATCATTTGAAGCCCAAGAAATAACTAACAGATGATGGGTTTTAATAGCTTCCTAAAACCTGAATGCTTGATCTATTAAACAATCACATTCTTGAATTTACCACTTGTGAGTACGGACTAAAGTATAAATCTTGTGAAATACCTGCTTTTCTTTGACTATTCATCTCCTTTAATGTTGCGGGGAGAAACTAATAAAGTTTTAATTGAGCTATCCCTCTCAGCATTGAACAGTGGTGACTAAAATCTATACATAATATCAAAACAATTGCACTATAGAACTGGTCGACAGAAGTGTGTTTACTACATTTAGAAGAAAAGGGTATTAGCTGGCTTTCCAATCTATTGGGGAGAATAGATCAAAACTTTCCTTAGGAACTGTTTCAGTGCCCAACAAATATCTAAGGTGGTTACTTATTGTCACTAATCTAATCCTTAACGCTGTAAATTAAGCCATTCTCCTTGTATTGTGCCCTTAAAACTTAAAAAGAGCAAACCAATAACTGGAGAAGTTTAAAAAAATCTACAATCTACTTGTTAGCACATCTTCATGCCATGGTGATTTGATTAGTGATTTGATTAAGTATAGATTACAACCCTGGACTTAATACACGGTGGCCCACTTTTAAAATGGCCCATTTATAACAAAGGTCTCTCTGTTGGAACTGCCAGAGAGCTAAAAAAAAAAAACAAACAAACATGTCACCAGTATAAAAAACTTTTTTTAGCCATGTATTGTAGAGCAGTGAAATTGTACACGTGGAGACCTTCATTTCAGCACAGTTCTACTGATTGTGTGACTACAAACAAGTCAAGATTTCCTGATTCTCATATTCTGTCACTATAGTAAGATTACTGCCTGCTCTCAAACCACCCCAAGAGAAGATCTAAAGAATAAGGAACACAATGTAAGTAGTATAAAATGCTATAAGCTTCTTGGAGAAAAGACTCTACGTAGTCTTACATAAGAAAAATTCATAAATATCTTTTAAGATAGAATATTTGTAATGAAGATTCAGGCTACCACAAACTAAAAAATTACTGACTTCTTACAAGTTTCAAGTATAACACTCACCACAGGAGAAAGGGGAAAGATAACCTACCCCATTGTCCCATCCATTAGAAGGATCGTGTTGTATATGTGAGAAAAGATGAAGAGAAAGAGAATTGTGCTGAAGAACATTGTCATCCATGATCCATGATCCTCACGAAACATTTTTAACCGGAGCAACTGACCTGCAATATAATTATTATTGGACATCAGTGTACATTGCAACTCAAAATACATACAGCATTGTTTTGTTTTAGTTAATTTCTTTTATCTCACTAATATTCTGAAGTCTTAGACCCTAGCACTTGTCTTACAGAGAAACTACTACCTAAGGTCCTTATTGCTCTTTTGTAAATAGATGATGAAGTCGAAGACAATCTCCACCTCATCATCCTAGAGCAAATACTAGCATGAAAATCTAGTGTACAGAGAGCAATCATTATGCTGGCATGAAAATAAGATTAATTAGAACACTTACTTTAATTTTTTATTTAATAAATATGTTTTTGGTTCATTTACTGAAACTACTTAACTAAGGCAAATGGTAAACATGTTGCATAAATTCTTAATTCCCTTTTGCTCCCACAGGCCCATTCCCAGTACTGGTCAAATGATAGGTAAATTTCACTTATATTAAAGTACACGAAAATGTGAACAGTAAAAATGAAGTCTCTATCATAAGAATCAGAAGGCTTACGAGCCTTACTCGTAGCTAAAATATCCATTCCACATACAGGCTGGTGCACACGTGTGTGGGGTCTGGCAGCAGGTACATGTGTTATGGAGTCAGTGTGGTTCCCAGCAAAACATGATTTCTAATCATGCCTAATATCTATTTACAAAGATAATTACTAAAAATTGAGAGAACGGTCATTAATCTATGGCGAAGGAGGCCAGAACACACAATGGAGAAAAGACAGTCTCTTCAATAAGCGGTGCTTGGAAAACTGGACAGCGACACATAAGAGAATGAAATCAGAACACTCCCTAACACCATACACAAAAATAAACTCAAAATGGATTAAAGATCAATATGTAGAGCTGGAAACCATAAAACTCCTAAAGGAAAGCACAAGCAGAATACTGTCTCACTAAAATTGTAGCAATTTTGGATCTGTCTCTTAAACTGAAGGAAATAAAAGCAAAAATAAAAAATGGGACCTAATTAAAGTTAAAAGCTTTTGCACAGAGAAAAGGTGGGATTGGTGCAGTCACTATGTTGTGTCCGACTCTTGTGACCCCATAGCCTGTTAGGCTCCTCTGTCCCTGGGATTTCCCAGGCAAGAATACTGGAATGGGTTGCTGTTTCCTTCTTCAGGGAATCTTCCAGACCCAGGGGTCGAATCCAGATTTCCTGCATTACAGGCAGAATCTTAACTGACTGAGCCAAAGGTAACCATCAACAAAACAAAATGACAACTTGGGAGAAAACATTTGCAAATGATATGACTGACAATGAGTTAATATCCAAAATACATAAATAGGTCAAACAAGTGGACATCAAATAAATAAATAAATAGAAAACCTGATTGAAAAACAGGCAGAAGACCTGAATAGATATTTTTCCAAAGAAGACATGCAGATAGCCAACAGAAACATGAAAAAATGCTCAGTATCACTTATCATCAGGGAAATGCAAGTCAAAACTAAAATGCGATATCATCTCACATCTATCACAATGGCTATTATTAAAAAGAACACAAATAACAAATGTTGGCAGGGATGTGGAGAAAAGGGAAGCCCTTTACACTACAGGTGGGAAGGTAAACTGGTACAGCCACTATGGAAAACAGTATGGAGGTTTCTCAAAAAACTAAAAATAGCACTACCATTTGACTCAGCAATTCCACTCCGGGGTATGTAACCAAATGAGCCAAAAAACACTACTTCAAAAACATACATGAATCCCAATGTTCATAGTAACATTATTTGCAATTGTTAAGATATGTAAACAACGTAAGTGTCCATCAACATATGAATACACACATACACATACATAAGGAATAAGGCCGTAATGGAGAATGAAATTTTGCTATTTGCAATAACATGGATGAACTTGGAGGGTATTATGCTAAATAAAAGTCAGACCAAAAGATAAATACTGTACGATATCAGTTATATGTAGAGCCTAAAAAATAAAACAATCTAGTAAATAACAATGAAAAAAGCAGACCCACAGATAGAGAGAACCAACTAGTAGTTACCAGTGAGGAGAAGGAAAGGGGAGGGGCAATAGAGGGATTAAGAGGTACAAACTATTATGTATAAAATAAGCTACAGGATACACTGTACAACACAAGGAATATGCCCAATATTTTATAACATCTATAAGTGGAGTATAACCTTTAAATACTGTGAAACACTACATTTTATACCTATAACATATAATACTCTACATGAACTACACTTGAATAAAAAAAGAAAAAATGTTAAAATGCAAATACTTCAAGGAGGAACATGTAGTAAGATGAATACTAAAGTAAAAATTACTGGTATCACAAATAGGCCAGATAAACATTTTGATTTATGATAAAGAGAACTGAGAGCACTAGTATCCTGAAAGGTGAGGAAGATTTTTTAAAAAAAGACGAGATTAAGAAAAAATAAACATAGGCCATCCTGGTTTCTCCTAAGAGAAAGTTTATCCAAATAATGAGACAGGAGATGATGCACATATAGGAACTACAATTAACATAGGGTAGGTCTGAAATCTTACAGTAAAATCTTTCATGAGAGAAAATATTTCTTTTTGATGCTATGTCAAAGCTATGGGGAAAATATATATATTTCCATCTGGAAAATATCTCTCTAGGGACAGACAGTAACTCTCACATAGGTTTCTGAGCATAGGAAGAAATCATCTTTTAAGATTTAACCAATTTTCCCTCAATCCCTTTCTTTTATTAAAAGAGCACTTTAGATTTCATTTGGAAACCAGGCTAACAGAAACATTACCCCAGCTAAAACTTTAAATGGAGGAAATATGGGAGATTTGGTTACCTCATCTGGTTTCTTGGCCTGTACAAGAGAAGGAAAGGACAAATCTGAAGGTCAGAGGGAAAGTGAATTATAACTGAGAGAAGAATGTGGAAAATGTTCTACTGAAGCAAAGGATGCTGACGCTGCAAATTACAGCCTTACACAACTTGTGATAATTGAATCAATAATTATAGAAATCCAGGGAATTGCAAGTCTCCACACAACACCTTGTCAGGAATATTATAAATAAATATTAAACAGAGAATGCTTGAGAGTGAAAAATCCATGCCACAAATATCTTAAAGCAAACTGCAAAGAATATCATTCATTCTTTGAACAAATATTGAATGTGTGTTTCTTACATGCCAGCTGTGGATCAAGGGGCTAGAGGTAGAGCTGTGAGCAAGTCAGGAAGATGTTCAAAACCAGCCATCACTTGAGCAGTTAATGAAAACGTAATCTTATTTTAGACTGATGGACTCAGTGTTCCCTTTGCTGCAAGTCTTTCAGGCTTGATCTATTTATTTAATTCAGCAGTTGATATGTTGAAGTACTGCTAAGACCAGAAATTAGAGTTCTTTGAAATTAAAATGTGAATTTCTTTCTTAACATATGCATATGTCAAAAATTTCACTAATGGATATACTTTAAAAGTCAAAGACTCAAGAGTGCTTTGCAAATAAAATACAGTGGGTTAACTGTACATGGCGACTGAAATAATAAAGAGTTAGTAAAACGAGCGATGTGACAGGATCATTTATGCTGTCATTGCCGAACTCACTGCCTGGCACTAATTTCAGTCATTACAGCCATTATAACAAAATGGCAGGTTAACACGGCTTGCAATTCACTTGAAACACACAATAAAAGAGCTTCAATATATTAAGGGCAGAACCAGAGTGACCCAAATGTTGAGTCAAATCATATTTAAAAAAAAAAAAAATCCCATAACCTACTTCAAGGTTAACTCATTGAGTGACCATCCTAATGCTAGAAATATGTAAACACAGACTGTCATCAGTTGACTCCCCATCAATTTAATCAAACCAGGAACCTCAGAGTTACCTAAGGACGTCACATGAAAGTGACCTATCTCCACCCTGTGGTGTGACCACACATCTGGTTTCCCTGGGACAGCAGTGGCTTATGACTCTTGTCCTGGCATAATTATTAAGAGCGTCCCCTTCCTTTCTGAAGTGTATCGGTTTGGACAGTAAGTTATATGCCACCTTTCATATAGGTAAAAGAATTCAGAACTTTTTAACACTCTTCTTTAGAGGAGATTCAGGAGATACCTGAGTGAAAACAGTCAACTGAAATAAAAGACATCACTAAGAGGGATACATCACTGACAAGGTGATAAATGACTTTTAATCATATGTATATTTGTAAATCTTACTGTATGTTTATGTTACTAATAAAATGTGTCTTGGACTGTATGGGCCATCACCTTTGATATGGTCAAGGTAATTGGAAAACAAATCTTAAAACGATCGGCAGCATTAAAGTGGTACACAAACCTATGCATTAGAAGAGAGGGTTGGAGGGTACAGTGATTAATTGTCACAAATGTTGTTTTAAAGTACCGAAATAGCCTAGAATCTCAGAATCTTTCCTGGAGATACAGTAGGTTTAGAACCACTAAGAATCTTAAGATTCTAACAAGGATAATGACCTAAAAGCTAATTTTAAAATATATGATGAGCTCACATGAATTGTGGAAGATGGAAGTAGATAGGTGTAAGAGAATTAGGGAGAAACTACTTTGTTTCTTGGCTTTTTTTTTTTGCTGCTGTATTCTCATCAGCAAAAGAATAAAAAGGAACATTTGTTCTTTACCGCACAGCCAGACTTTTATGCTAAGTTCTGGGTCCCATTTCTTTAGAAGCAGTTTTCAGCAGGAGACCTCGAACAAAGAAATAAACTAAACAACCTCAGAGGAGAAGGACTAGAAGCATTTGTGCTTCCAGTTAAGAGATGGGGGTAACTCTTGGGAAGTTGTTGAAGCAAGGTTGAGTAGAGGGTTTCTAGATTCAGAGAGGATACAAAGATTCTGGTCCCCAAGGTGGCAGAACCTCACTTGGGTTTGAGTCCACGGTTGCTGGTAAAGGCCAAAGTATCAAGGGTCATGGCCTTGGAATTTAAGTAAAGAGACCAAGCTGGCCTCAAGGGAAGAGCAACCAGTAGAGCAGTCACCCAGTTTCAT